CAGCCAGGACTGAAATGAAACAGCACCAACCACAGTGGTTTGAGCAAAGGAAATACACAAAGCAGCATTTTGTACCAACAAAGGGGGCTCTGGCTGGCTTTGGCAGTGCTTTGCTATGCATTAGCATCAGCCCACAGATGGTCAACTTTTCGAAGGTGTAATTTCCCAATGATACCATCTACATTTTTGTTAGCCTCTGAGGTGCTGCAGGACCATTTGTTATTTAAGGATTTCCCAAACATTCAGACTAGAGTAGTGATTAGGAGACTGGATTTATTTCCAGCTCCTAACCAGTTAAGATACCTCTGCCTTTTCTTTCTAGCTAGCAGGATGGGAGGTTGGAGGGTAGGGAATTTGCCACTTCCAGTCAGGCTGATTTAAGAGCCAGCAGCCCAGCCCTGAGAGGAGCTAGCATGGTTCCATGCTGAAGAAAAGGGATTGATATGCTAGTGTTCACATTTTTAATGGCATACAAAGCAGCAGCCATAGAGAGACTCATTCACCACTCCTGCCTGCTCATTCCAAACCTACACCAACACCATCCTCTCTCCACAAAGCTCCTAGCCGTCCTCGGGAAAGGGGCCTTTCAGTAGGCAGGACTATTGACCTACACGATTTCTTCTGCCTGGAATCCTTTGATGTGGCAGGTGGAGCCATCCTGCCCATTGGATGGTTGGGGCAACTGTTTTGGGAATCTGGTGCCAGCAGCAGGGCTTGGGACTGTCCCTACACTCAGCAGCAGCTGCAGGAAGTGGAGCAACTCAGTCCCAGCCTGCTCTGTTCCTCCAAATCCCTGCGGCATTGCTCAGGGGAGGGGATTTGAGGAAAAGAGTGGACCCGCCCCCGCCCCGCCCCCTGCACTCAGTGGTGGTGGGACATGGGAAGAGGGAAGTGGAATGCTGTGGCGGGGAGCCAGTAGAACAGAGCTGGCTAGGGTTGTGTTGCTCCACTTTCTGCCGCCAGCGGTGAATATGTGTTGGGACTGACCCCTGCTGCTGGCACCCAGCTGGGCCACGTCGCTCAGGGGGACAGCCCAAGGAGACAGGGGAGGGAACAGACAGGGTGGGGTGTGATAGGTTGTCCCAGGTTCCACAGTCCCAGAGGGACGGCCCTGGTGGCAGGTTCAGTCAGAGCTCTGCCACCTTGCTGCAGGAGCCTTCGCTGTGCTGCAGCTTCTTCAGACCCTTTGCTCTGGCCCCAGTAGCTTTGCAGTTTCAGATGAACATGGTTTTGTTCTGGTCAACTCATCTCAAAAGGCACAGAGACAGGCAGCAAAAATGATTAAAGGCTTGACTTCAAGCATAAGGCAACAAACCAACAGGAGTGTGTAGGAACAAAATGCCCTTCCCCCCAGCTATATAATAAAACTAGCCAATGTTGAAATTCTTTCACCAGGTATCTGATTTGGCAGATCGCCAATCTGCTTGCTTCAGAATACAGTAGTAATTTCTGGCAAAAGTAAGAAGGGTTCTACCCCAGAGCATGGATCAGGCTGGAATTCAGATTTTTGTAAGGAAATTTAGAATTTCCAGCAACTCTGACACCTTCTGAGAGGTGTGGGGAGAGGGAGGAAAGCAATATTTTGGAACATACTTCAAGCAACTGTGAATCTGGTACTTCGAAGACTGTCTGAAGTGTTCCAGCTCATAGCAATTCAAATTCATTCTAAGACATGTGCGGGGAACCTAAGGCCTCTTGCCTGGATCTGGCCCCCAAGTCTTGGGGCTTCCCCACCCTCCCCAGCATTGAGGAGCCTGTGCTGGCACTTCAGTCCCCACCCCGCCACTGTCCCACCATGGGTCTGAAGCACACAAAATCTACTAGCCTGGGCTCCCCTAGGCTCTGGTGTGCAAGGGGAATGCGGGGAGTGACTTTCTCTTTCTTGGTCAGGGGGTCAAATCAGTGAGGGTTTGTTTTTGTTTGTCTCTCACTTGTGTGTGGCCCCACTGATTTTTCTGTGGGTCAGCAGCCCCCAACCCAAAAAAGGCTCCCCACCCCTGCTCTAAGAGGTCACAGGATTCTGCCTTAGTCTAAGGCACTTGGCTCCCACTCTTCATATCTCATAGCCCTTATGAGATATAGGTTTTCATAGGTTTTTGATCTGAGGAAGTGGGTCTGGCCCACGAAAGCTCATCATCTAATAAACCATCTTGTTAGTCTTTAAAGTGCTACATTGTCCTGCATTTTGCTTCAACTACCCCAGACTAACACGGCTACATTTCTATCACTATTCTCATAGCCCTTATTGAGCTATGGCTACCATCTCTGAACAAGATGCAATATACGCCCCAGTCAGAAAAGCCCTTAGCTTTGCGCTGTTTCATGGTTGAATGTTATTGGTGCTTGGGGTCTCCCAGAGAAAAGGAAAATTAATTCAGGAAAAATGAAACCATTAATAAAGACCAGCTTTTACATACACAGCTACCACACACACACCTAAACTCAGTGAGTCCTTTATTTTTTTAAGTAAAGAAATTCAATTGAATTAAAGATAACAAAATTACATTGTTTTGCAATGACCTTCGTTAACATTACTCAGAATAAAGAACAAAACAAATTAACAAGAAAAATAAATCAAGGACACATTTTATAGCTTTTTAAAAGGTAAACGTCACCAGATATAGAAAAATTGCATTGCTAGTTGCAAATCTTCTTCCCAGGAGCTGGCAGCTCCTGAAAATCTGACTCCGAATCTGGCAGCTGGGGGCAGCTCTCAGCATACCAACACAACCTTTTCTGGGCAACATTTAAAGTTAAAAGGATCACGAATGTCGAAATAATGATTCCAGATATTCTATTTGGAAGCAAAATTTCTCATAATTTTTTAATTTCAGTTGAATAGCAAGAGTTCAAAGACACCAAAAAAAGTTACACTCAACCCACTCCACTAAGGCAGCTGCATTGGCAGAAATCAAAGAGGGCACAGTTACAGATCTGGCTTCCTGAGGTGTCAGGATACCCTCCCTTCCCCTTCCCTCTGCTTGGGGGCATCTGGGAAGAGAAATGCAGGTTTGTTGCAAACTAACATCTGGGACTAGAGACAATTGCTGAACAGTTGTGAAAAATCAACTGTTTTGGAGAACATCACCTGAACTAAATAGTCATTTTTTAACTAAATCTGGCCTATCAGCCATACTTCTTAGGACTCCCAATTGGCAGCTACCACCAGAAGGTATAGTACTCTGGTAGAACATGCTTTTACTGATCACTCTGATATGATGTCCTACCTCCTCTGATCATAGCCATGTTCTCTGCATAACAAGACAGATGCATTGCAATATGCTTGCCAGTCACACAAAAATAACAGGCTGCATACGCCCCTACTTATGCAGCCAATTATGGGACTCAGACCTGAATGCTCCCCAAAAGGGTTAGAGCTAAACAGGCTGCTAGAAGTTGGTGAGAAAATAAGCCTACACACAGAGGAAGCAGGGCTGAACTCTTCTTGCAGCCATTGGATCTGTTTGGTAAAGGTTGTCTCCTCTTGCAGCCCCCATGCGGACAATGCTGCCCTTTAATACAGTGATTGTGCCCTTGGATTTAACCAGCAAACAAATGTTTTAAGGATACAAATATTTAAATGAAGTACAGTACCCAGATGATTAACGGATAATTTGATCTCTGTCACTGCACCTCAGCCAAATCATCAGAGTTAGGAGAAAACAAGTCCAGATGGAAACAGAGAGGACACAGCAGCAGGATCATGTCTTGCAAAAAAGGGGGCCTGGAGCACTGCAAGGCACTTCTCTGTAAGCTGCTTGGTGCACCCTAATTTCTGTTCTGAACAGCCTTTTGAAAACAGTGTACTCACACCAAGAGCAATTTGCTTTCTGCCTAGATTTGGACTCTTGCAGTAAACATTGCTGTTCTGAGTCACTATGGCTACTGCACGCTACCCAAACATACACAACTGCCAATGGAAGGGCACATGGTGTCTGACTCAAAACAAGCAATGGACACACACAGCCTTCTGAATGGCTTGCATCACAGCTGTCCATACACCGCCTACTAACACAAGCCTGGGTCCTTTTCTAGGTTCCTTGTAAAGAAGTTTTACAACCATCAATAAATCCCAGAGAGGCACAACATTTCCAGGAAGCTCCTTGCATTGCTGCCCAGAGAGCAGTGTCACTACTTTTGGCAATAAATCCCCCAAATGCACTCGATGTATTGGATAAAGAGACAGACCACACCTCTTGCTGTACACTATTTGGCCAACAAGCTAGTGAACTGAGGAAGTTAGCTCATTAGAACATGGGATCTTTTGGATTTTGGAAAGGAAACATGTTCATGTTTTGGTCAATAACTATGAGTCAGTCCTTACATTTCTATAGGCAGGAGAAGTCAGATGTATAATTATCTCCTGCTTATATAGTTATAATTTTAAGCCATAAGGACATACACTATAGCTCATTTTAAGCTGCCCAAACCCAAAGTCCTTTCCTAGCTCAGCACACACCCATCTTTCAGTGACATTTCACCCACAGCCAGGCTGCTTTTAGCTTTGATGCCAGAAGCCAAAAAGTCAGGTGTTTGCTTTCTGTAGATCACAGCAACAAGCAGAACCGCGGATATATATTACTGAAAGCTGCCACTGTCTTGATGTGGAGAAGGAAGCGAGAGAAATGAAGGGAAAGGCACTAGGTTTCTAAAGGGCTGTGGACTACATTCTTCAACAGAACTGGGATGGACGAAGAAAAAGTAGCTTGGCTGAAGTCAAGTGCCATGGATTTCAGTACTCTATGTTATAACTTAGTGATCACAATTTGAGACAAATACTTCTTGATAAACAAGAATCAATGCCAAGAAGTGCTGAGGAGAAGACTACAGAGAGTTTCAGGTGCCTTCACGGTGCATCTGCAACAGGAAACCCTGTCAAACTCTTCAAAAGGAGAACATTAGAGCATGGCTATTAAAGATTCTGGGAGATCTGAGGTAAAGAATACAAGTTCCTCATGCTCTAAGTCTCAGCACGGCCCACTGTCCCCTGCAAAGTTCAAATGTCTTCAGATACCTGGTAACGGTGGAAGGAAGGCTGGACCAGTCTAACTGTTCAGGGAGAACTGGATGCAACCTAAGTAGAAGAGTCCCTTTCTGATGTTTGTTTCTAAATGCCAATGATATCCAATGATGAGATACACAAATTTACGATGCTAAGTGCTAGTTAATAGAGCCCTAGTGACATTTATTTCATTTTACCTCTAATTCCTCAATCTGAAACTATCAATTCAGAAAATCCGCTTGTTAGCTTCCATCTCACTCAGCTGATCTAAAGAGAAGAGCTGCATTGTTCCATGTGCATGATCAGGCTATTTCAGGAAGTATTCAGAGGTTTACACTTTGAATACTTGCTATAACTAATGTGGGAGGTTTTTTTGAACATTTTAGGAGGCTCTTGTGGAAAAAATTCTCTCTGCTGGCCTGGAATGCACATACATGACTTTCACCTCTAAAGGAAAGAGCACAAAACTGAACTAGGTCATATGCTATTAGCATGATGGTCTCAATTTGGTCCCTGGTATGCATATACCCACATCACATTACAACTGCTAGCATAGTGCATGGGAGACTAAGTTAGGACTGATATTTAGTGGCAGACCCTTTTTTAAACGTGTGCACTGTCCACTCCAGCTGTAGGGTTTAATACAAGAAGTCCCCTCTCCAGAAACCTTAATATAGTAATATGTAGTGAAGCAGATTTTTAGCCAGAGGGGAGGCAGAAGAAATGAGCTACCAGATATGGTTTCCAGTAAGTCAAGGAAGCTCTTAAAAGTTTACACCACTTGGCCCCGGCCTATGCATTCAAAGACACGCTAAGTCACCCCGAGGAGGAGTTTTTATTAAACCTTTCTAGCTACAAAAATCTTGTTGGGTGAACTTAAGTCTCAAAACTCAAATGAGAACCTTAACATGCATAGCAAAAGCCTTAAATAACTCCTTCCCTTTTCTCCCAAAACTAGATAAGCCAACTTTCACAACTGCTAGCATTAATCCAAACACAAACACAACTGCTTCAAGTGCATTAGAGAACATAGACAGCTCACCTGAAGATGCAAGAACTATTGTAGCAAGAATACCAAGACTCAAGTCTACTTCCATTTCTCATCCCCCCCACCTCCCCGCTGAAGCAACCACTCCAGATGTCTGGGATGCTAAGTGCTCCTGAAGTCTCAGACTTAGGTGAGTGCATCTGTATTTGGATAGTGAGGGGTAAGTGCATGTTATGGAAATCTATACAAGCAGCAAGACAGAGAAGAGTTTTTGCCTGTTGCTACCTCTGAGGAGGAACAGATGCTGGTAATTTCCTTAAGTCTTCAAGATCTTCTAGCACCTAGTCTAGCCATGAAACAGGCTTTACTTTCTACAGAGATATGCTCTCTCTCCTGGAATGACTGCAGGAAGGATCAGCTCACTAAGAAAGAGGCAGTGACAGAGTTCACCTGCAAACAGTGGTGAAAGAAAACTGGAATTTTCCTCATGAAAGGATTCTCCAATAGCAGAATCTCTGCTTGCCTGCCCAATTTGACTGGACAAGCAGGAACTCTCATTGGTTTAGGAATTCCCCCAGCAGCTCTTCTCATTGAAGGAGGAGTTACATTTAGTATTCAGTAAGAATGGAAGTCATTGACTGCCTGGTCACCTGCCATAGTTAGTTACACTAAACTGTATCTCTGTGTTTGAAGAGACAAAGACATCACCATTTTTCTCCATGCCCTAAGAAACAGGAGACCAAATGCCATCACAAACAGCATGGAGCAAAGCCTTTTCAAGTCAAAGCCTCCCTTGCTGCATCCATAGAGATAGAGCTCCTCTTGGGGCAGATTCTTAACACTAAATGTATACTACCGCAAACTCTGAGCTCAGCAGCTAAAGAGCTGAACACCCAAAGCAAGCTCCTCCAAAACAACAATCCCTTTTATTTCCGTTGGAAAATGGTTACAAGTTACCACCACGGAAGGAAGCCTTCTTCATTTACTTTTTGAGAACTGACGTTCTGCAAGCAAGGGCAATGCAATGAGTTTACAGGAAAGTTTTGAAGAGTTGCAAAACTGGGCTTAGTTTAGTATTGCTGTAAACCCAGCTATACTGTAGAGGGAAGTTCATAATTATTTTATTAGAGAAAACAACTCAAGTTCTCAAGCAACTATTTGGGAAACGGCAAAAACATTTTGTGCTTCAAATACATCAAGAAATATCCAAATGTCTGTGTTCTGCCTGCTTTTTGAAGCTTCAACAGTTTGATGAGTGCTAAGGAGGACTTCTGTTCTCTTAGAACCATCTGTAGTGACTACTCCTATTTGCAGCTATGCAGGGTTTGGAGGAATGAATGCACACAGTGATCTGTAGAGGGAATTCTTTACTGTGGGAAGGGCAGTCTGGTCTCTTGCATAGCTGGTGTTCTATGAACAACAACTACAGAGCTAGCTAAGTTCAAATCCATTATATATTAGATCCACATTTCCACACATTGATATCATGTATCTATGTCAATGGGTATAAATAACAGGGGCTTATATTCAACTTCTTAAAAAGTGACTGATATTCTAAGTTATGTCCCATGAATTATTTATACCAACAGCTACTGAAACTAGGACACGTTCAAAATCTGAATGCCCAGTATGATTATTCTGCTGATTTGTGGATGAGTTATGGACAAGAGGATGAGCACAAAGAGACACAAACACCATCCGAAGATGCCCTTAACTGATGCCCTGAAACATCCTTGAAACCAGCCACAAGAGTGCCCAAATCTTGCTGTGGCTTTGCATGATCATTTCTTCTACTTCTAGAACAAAAGCAGAACCTGAACTCTAACCACAACAATGCACAGGGTAACCACAGTTTGTTTAGAACAGGCCAAGGCAGCTGGCCTAAGGCAAACTGAAGGAGTTAGTTTCCTGATATGATAATACACCTTTGCTACAGTACTTAATTATTGCTTTGTTAAACAAAAATCTCTCCAATCTACTGAAGTTCAGAGACCATGTGGCCCAAGCAGCTTATTCCACTAGTATTACAGGACTGAAATTCAGCAGGGTGTTTTATCCTTAAGCTTCAACTAAAGTGCCTAGAACACAAAACCAAGGCTAAAGCAATAAAGTGCTAATTGGTGAGAGCAGCATGACAGGAACGCAGATGATGAAGTAAATGGATGATGAAAGGAATCACAAAGATGGAATAATGAGATGAGGATACCGAAGGATTGAAAGTAAAGCAAAGTTTGACCACAAAGTTCCACTGTCTAGACAGATTGTTTCTATTTTTAAATTAAGATCTTTGATTGTCATGGGGGAGTTCTTCTTCTAGGGTGTTTATCTTAAAAGAGCCCTTTGGGCCACAGTATAGTATCAGTTCCTACTTGAAGAAAGTATGCAAGTGACTTTCAAATTACCACACTTCATCTTGAGCATTAACTGAAGTTGATGCTGGACATTCTGGGTGGGGAAAGGGTGTTAAAGCCAGGAGGATACAAATGCCCAGCTGGACATAGACAGGCTCACCAGATCCTAATAACTGTGAGGACAGTCATACAGAGAAACATTTTAGCTATGCAGGGCTAGAGACATTCAGTTCCCATCAACTACAAGGCAAGTCATATGGCTGAAAAACAAAACCATTCATTGCTCTGAAAGTTTAGGGGAAAGATTTTGGAACATTCTACCCTGGCACATACAAAAGGAGAGAAGAAGCAAGAACTGATATTGATGATCTCCCCCCACAGACACTCCTTAAGAAAGGGTGTATTCATTCTCTGAAATATTTTCAAACAAAATGGATATACCCCACCGATTGACAATCAGCTGTTTCAATGCATTAACCAGAACCCGTTTCAAAAAGGCCTGGATTAAAACACAAAAATACAGTGATAAAATAAAACTTTTTACATTAAAAAAGGCAAGTGTCACAAGAAGGCTGTTTTGTCTTGGTGTGAGAGTGTTTATATAGCAGGAAATCCAATGAATGACCAACATGTAACTCATCTATATGCAGAGGGTCATCAGAAAAATGCAGGGGTAGCAGAATATGCTGCCACCCTTGCAAGAGCTAAAGCTCTGACAAGTTGCTCTGTGTTTCCTAACCCATCTGCATCCTGCTATGGGCACTGCCGGAAAAGGCAAGAGGGCTTTATGAGATGTGCAAGGCTGAAGGTCTACTTGTCACTCAAAAGTTTCACTCTTTTTGTAAGCCACATATCAGTGGACTCCAGACTGAACTGCTGGTGTCTATGGATTGATTCAGGGTTCTCCCTAGTGTCAGGAGAGATATGACCAGAGGGGGAAATGAAGCTCCCAGCACAACTCATCCACAGCTAAACAAATTCTGTTAACTCAGTGAAGAGTCCTGACCAGTGGAAGAATAACCTGAAGGTCAGCAGTACTGGGACTTTCTACTTCCTCACAGTATGAGAATCCTGCAGCAAGCCCTAACCAGCAAACAAAAGCAGCAAGCTAGTTCTTCAAATGCAGCAGTGTACTGCAAACCCATAAGGAGACACAAAGATCCACAATGCCAGTTATTCCTCTGTTGTATCTCCATTTCAGAAGGAAACATTGTGGCCAAACCCCAGTCCCAGGATGTCACAAAGAGGATGGAAACCTGAAAAAGCAGGTGAGGGAACTCAAGAGTTCCAGAAGAGGGAAATATAGTGAAACAAATCCAAGTGGGTCTTTGGGGTAGTTACTCCTGCCCAGATGCCGATTGCTCTGTATCTGAGCACTGAGACTTATTCCTCTCCCACTGGCAGATGGCATTGGTGTACTGTACCACAAGCTTATCCATCCACGTGAGAGGTTCAGGAAATAGTACAGCTCCCTCAAAAAAGCCCAGATGGCCTCCATGAAGTGGTAGCACAAACATGACGTTCTCCCGTTTCTCTGCAAGGTTAAAAGAGGAAAAGAACATAAGATTTCAGAAGTCAACTGCAGAGGTTAAACAGCAGAGTTCCGCATCATCCTAGATAATGGTACCAACGGTGATGTTTAAGGGCAGGAGTGGGCAGTAAGTGGCCAGCAGGTTGGATGCAGTTCTCTGTTTACCTGAGCCTCCACAGGTATGGCTGCTCACAACTCCCATTGGCCATGGTTCACCATTCCTGGTAACGCCATTTGCCATTCCCAGACAATGGGAGCTGTGAGAAGTGGTGGGCCAGCCTGCAATGCTTCCCACAGCTCCCATTGGTTCGGAACAACAAACTGTAGCCAACAGGAGCTGCGAGCAGCCATACCTGCAGATACATAGTTAAAGTGTCTGGCAGCCCACCAGGGACTAACCTGGACTGTATTCATTAGATCCTACCAAAATACAATTTGGAACCTTCTCAGTGAATGGTGGTTCTTAGAGATTACACAGTACACATTCACCAGATTATGGTAGTCTGCAGTCAAGTCAAGCAAACTTTGCAACGCTTTGTAATTCATAATGTGATGAAGAGGGAAAAACAATAGTCTATTTTGATAATGAATTCAACTCACCTGACAGAGCTCTTGGGATTGATAAGAGACTGTCATGTACCAGAGGGTCATCAGCAGCATTAACCAGCATGAGAGGAACATAGATCTGCACCATGAAAGGAGATGGATAGAAACAGAGAACCAGTGAGCTATAGATTCGTGGTTTCAACTCAAATCTTGTAACAGCAAAAGGAATCTACTCACAACCTGCCTAAGACACCACAACTGAGTGCCATGTCTTGTGATGGCCCTACACGTGCAGCAACATCAATAAAGTAATAACATACACAAACAAAACCATGCCTGTGGACTGTCACTGCTGGGATGCTCTGCAGCATATGATATGGTTCAGCTGAACTGCTGAAAGGGCAAACTGGGTATGACAGGTAATCACCAGTAACAGACAGATCCAGACAGTGACAATAGATAGTTTCTTTATAACTGGTACCCACGAGGTACCCAGTGTGGTCAATACTTGAGAGCATTTGCATTCAGCTTTTGAAAGGAAGAATCTAAGCTATCGCTGCTAGGCAGAGGGTCAAACATATGTTTGTCTCTGGCTTCTGAAGGGGGCATGCAGCACCTAAGAAGAATGCACTGCTGAAACTAGACATGGGATAATCATAAACTGGCAGAGATGGAATAATAGTAAAACTTCAATTATGCTTGTCTGGGCAAGAAATGTGAAGAACATCATTTTGTTAGGCTCCCTCCAAACGCTGACGAGAACTGCTTAAGCATGCCAGAGAGCCATGCAGCCCAAACACAGACTTTGATTAGGGGCTGACGGCAAAGGATCAGATGTCAGCCATGACCATGACAGGATTCTGTCGCCATAAAAAAATTGCCAAACTGAGTGCCTTCCTCCGACACTCTGGGTAATTACTGTTCTGCCTAAGAGACAGATGTTGGACTGCAACATGCTCTTTGTATCAGATTACTGAAACAACCTCACCCAAGTCTTGAAGCTGAAGTAATTAAGTAATCATCAAGGGCTAGTTGATAGGACTTAGTCTTACTCCACGCATTCAGCGCAACAGGAGAGACTTACTTTTGGATATTTAAAACCCTAATGCTTTACTGAGCTTTGGTAGCCTATTCACCTCTATATCATTTGGCCCAGCGATACTTATGGGGGATAACTAGTACATTTCCAAGCATTGCCTCTGCAGTCCTGAATCTCTGCAATGTCTGATCATCTGACCTGAGAGGCGGTGTCTATGCCTCTTTCCAAAGTGCAACCATTTATTTAGAATGTTTCTGGAATTGTATAGATCAGAATAATACTTGTTTGATATCTTTAAAAGAGCATAACTGTACCACCAATACATAGCTCTGCAGTGAGGGTCTCACAATTTGGTTTCATTTAATATAAGTTGAAGGCCTGAATGTGAGATAAAACATTCCTTTTGGTTTGAGGGGACTGTCACTGATGTCCCAGATGAAGATCTGGACTAGGAGTTTCAAATAAGCCTAAAGGAATTGGGCACTGAAGTCAGTGAATGTCAATGGGTTTTGGTGCTTAACTCCCATTCGGTTCCTTAGAACTGCTAGCCCTGACACTTCGTACACATGGAGGAAAAAAAGAGACATAACAGCTAGGTACCAGTGGTGCAGAAACCAATGAACATTCCTCTTCATTCCCAAGAGCAAAATAAAACCATAACAACCTCCACAGTGGCAGCTCACCCTGTGTAAGTAATGCAGACAACTCTCCTCTTCATAATACTCTTTCAGGGAACTGTAGCCATGAAACTTCCTGAGAAAGAAAACAAATAACTGTAAGGCAAGAACAGTTACTCACAGTACTGACCAATACACGTTTGATCTAGTCCACTCCACCAGCAAAAGCTGCTCAATGTGACCTCTTTCCAGTGCTTTAATTTAGACCATCTGTTCAGGCCCATCGCAGTGTAAAACTCCAATGTCAACAAAGCACAGGAGAAGAAATGTTCCACTCTTATTTGCCAAAGGGGACAATCACAGAGCTCTTCACAAGAGCATGACCAGCAGGGGCAAGCAGCACAGAAACTGCCAGCTAAGTGTGCAGTTCCCCAAAGCACTGTGCAAGTGCAGCACAGTAGCAAGCCAGAGGTATGACAGATGGCAAATTAAACACTAATAACTTCTGTGGAGCAGGATATGGATGAGGAAGCCTAGTCACACCTGAGATCTTTAAAAGCATTCTTTCTGGTTATCAGCAATCTTGACAGAGAGGGGACTGGAGAATAATTAAGGCTGGTTGCATTAACAGCCCCCATATGGTAGGCACTCTCAAAACACCTTGCTGGGATCTCATCTTCAGTTAGTTATGAAGCCTGAAGATGTAGTTGCTGAAGCGCCCATTTTAGGATCTGAAACTCACTGCAGTTAAAAGCCTTCTCAAGAAAGTAAACTTCTCAGTTTCCTTGCTAGATTTTTCCCATAATGGTGTCCAATCCAATCCCCCTATCTCCTTCCCACTTCATGAAACCAAGCACCTAAGCTGTGGCCACAGCTGGGGAGACCTGGTCCTTCCCTACCACATTTAAGAAAGAAACGAGGATAGCAGGACTCCAGTGATCTCATTTCCTGCTGGGCACACAGTAGGAATCCCCTTCCCTGGAAGCAGCTTACAAAGCCTAGCTCTCCCCAGGAGCAGAAGGGGGAAACACTTTCAGTCCCTCAGCAGCTTAGCTGGCTAACTTTACCATCTGTTGGCTTGGGTGGTTATTTTATGGCCATGGTGGTTTTTGGTTTGGGGGGATGCCAGTACCTGGTCTTAGGGGAGGCTCTGGAAAGGGTGAACATAAGGCCATTGGGAATGCACTGAATTAGTGCTAGAATATTTAAAAAGCAAGGGTTAAACTGGAGAGGCAAGACTTATGAAAAGGCTGATGCTTAATACTGAACAATAAGAGGTGCCTTTAGTGCTTGACTTTATTAATACAGCAAGAATTAAAATAAGCAAACCGTAAGATTTGCTAAAATTAGAAGAGAGAGGTATTAAAGGTAAGGGCCATTTGTGTTATAAATACACAGTTGAAGGTCAGGCAAGGGTTACAATATAATTTGGTAGGAGCCAGCATGAGCCTATCACTTCCCCAAACACTTCATGTCCAAGGCCTAGACACCACTGGTTTCAACTTTCTAGAATCTTTTAGGTGGGGACTATCTTCCCAGATTGTTTATACAATACCCAGAAAAATGGGTCTCCAACCCTGACTGCTGTTTTGGATGCTTGATTTTTGCAAAAAAGTAGTAGAGGCCTTGTCAAAAGCTGGATCAGAAGTTGGCAAAGATTTGGGGAGGGGAGGGAGGGTTAGTCAACATTTTGACAAAGTTGCTGACTTAGCAAATTTCAGGAGTTTTCTACCCACCTAGCAGCAAGTAATAGGGCAACATCAGTGAGAATTTGAAAAGATGTGCTAAAGAGCATGCTCCCAGTCATACCTCATGATGGTGTCATCGATCTGCATGAGGGACGTTGCTGTGTAGAGTCTGCTCAGGTCTGAGTCTGCTAGGTTGTGGGACTGCTTAACACTATCGCCAAACAAGGCTTGCCTGAAACACAGCAGCAGAAAATAGTTATCACACAAGCAGCAAGGCCCTATCCCGCTCAGAAAAGCTTGCATCTGCTACTGCTGATAGGAAAAGGAGGACTATATCCCCCATCCATGAAGATTTACTTAAGAATGAGCATGGCTTGTTAACTTTGGCCAGCTGCACAGGGAGGTAAGCTGAGACTTTCACAGGCTGCTCTGGGACAAAGATGCTTTTCTGTTGCACTGAAAAACTGCATTTAAAAGACATGTATAGAGGACTTTTCAAAGCATATCCAGGGATTAGAAGTGTTTGGAGCAAAGGCTTTTTCAGTTAAAGGCAATGTCCTTTGGCTTCTTACCAAAGACATGGGTGGCTCTGTTAACAGTGTTAAAGATCATGGGTGTAGTATCTCCTTCTCCATCTGGTACTATTGCCTCATCAGTGTGGAGACAATGTTACTTCATAAAGAGAAAGTGATTTGGGACATTACCTTAACAGAAAGCTATTCACTGTGGATATTGTCCTAGTCAGATATTACACCCAAGAGAGGATATGTTGCTTCACAAGAGCAAAACTCTAGCTAGGAAACATACAGGCCCCAGAACAAAGACAGCAAGCTGTGAATATCAAGAGTCTTGCAGGATTTCCATCCCCTTTAAGAGGCAGCTGTGGGGTGGAGATGGAGTTTGTTTTGGGGACTTGCCTTAGAGCATAAGAGATCCATTATGGAAGCAAAATATTTTGATAACTCAACAAAACCTCCTTTAAGCCTGCCACAAGTTTCTCTTGGTTATGATACTGTGTACCCATTTTCATGGGGAAATTACAGCCCTTCATACATTTTGAGTTTCATCAAGATGTCAAAATATTTGGCTACCTGGAGTGAATTATGTGGATCCCCACACACTGTACCCACAGATAAGAGTTTCCTTCCTTCCAGAAAGATTTTCCACACTGCATGCGACATGATAGCTTCACTTACAAGATTTCAACTCTGCCATTTGGAATGGGCATGAATAAGGTATCTATTTTCATTTTCTCCCATCTCCCAAGTGTCTCTAGGCATCTTAAGCAAAGGAGATACCTACATTTGAAGGCAACATGCAGCAATCAGTATCTAAAAGCAGTTTTGGCTGTGGTAGTGGGCAAGGGGAGGGAAGCAACATGAATTTGAGTGGACAGCCAATAAGAGTTACTCATTCAATCTGACCTATTGCTCATCCATAGTAAAGGCATGGGCGTAAAGCGAGCACATAGGTATCAGCAGTATTTGGGAGCATTCCCTCTAGCTGTGCATTTTTAGGTTTTGAGCCATTTAAAGCAAACTTAACTTTAGACTATTGCGTTTGACAGAACGACACCCCAAAGCCGTGAATCCTTAGCTCCACAACAAGAGCAATTCTGACACTCTGCTTAAGTGTGTGGCAGAGCATAACAGAGAGGTGCTTCCTCACCTCCTTGAGGATAAGAAGGTCTCTGGCTAGAAGGAAAAACACATGCAAAATACACTGCTGATGTCTGCCAAGTCTATAGTAGGGAAGGAAGGCTGTTGGCAAACACACAACAACATTGCGCTTCTCATCTTGCATTTACTCAGTCAATGACCTTCCTTGGAAGGCAGAAATAAGCAGCTGGACAGGACAAAGAATAAATGAGATGCTGGGCAAGTTTCCCTTTTGTTTGCTAAAATCATCCCATTCTAGGAAGCTGAAGCTTATTCAGATTTCTAGGGATGGATTCTCTCTAATTTCAGTTTACCCTTTGGATAATCCCACATGGATCTACAGAATTCAGCACTGCTTTTGCAGGTAAAGCTAGCTAGCCCATCTAAATATTCAAAGTAATGCAAAATGTAAAATAATACTCATTGGAAAAAATAATTCCAACTATACATACAATACAATAATCATAATTTAGCCAAAACTACTCAAGAGAGATCTTGGAGTCATTGTGGATAGTTCTTTGAAAACATTCACTCAGTGTGCAGTGCCAGTCAAAAAAGAAAATAGAATGTTAGGAATCATTAAAAAAGAAAAAGAGACTAAGACAAAAACAATATTTTATTGCCTCTATATAAAACCACGGTACACCCAGATCTTGAATATTGCATACAGATGTGGTCGCCTCATCTCAAAAAAGATAGACTGGCACTGGAAAAGGTTCAGAAAAGAGCAACCAAAATGATTAGGGTTTTGAAACAGGTCCCATAGGAAGGGAGATTAAAAAGACTTTGACTTTTCATCTTAGAAAAGAGGAGACTAAGGGGTGATATTACAGAGGTCTATAAAATCATGACTGGTATGGAAAAAGTGAATAAGGAAAAGTTATTTATTTATTCCCACAAAATAAGAACTAAGGGGTCACCAAATGAAATTAATAGGCAGCAGGTTTAAAACAAAAGGAAGTTTTTCTTCACTCAGTGTACAGTCAATCTGTGGAACTCCTTGCCAGAGGATGTGGTAAAAGCTAGGACTTTAACAGGGTTCAAAAAAGAGCTAGATAGATTCATAGAATAGGTCCATCAATGGCTATTAGTCAGGATAGATAAGAATGGTGTCCCTAGCCTCTGTTTATCTGGATATGGTTGACAGGAGAGGGATCACATGAGGATTACCTGTTGTGTTCCCTCCCTCTCGGGCATCTGGTATTGGCCACTGTCAGCAGACAGGATACTGGGCTAGATGGACCATTGGTCTGACCCATTATGGCCTTCTTGTTCTTATAGCAGATGGTTTACTAACGTACCTGTGAGAGAGGATTATTTTCTTCATGTTGTCTGCCATGAGGAAGTTATAAAACCTCCGACACTGATCCCACTGCATGAAGGTTTCCTGTGCCCTAAACACAAGCATAGATCAACAAATCAAAGCAGGTAGCAACTGTGTACATCTAGTTGGAATAGAGTAATAAACCACAGTCTCCAGGACACTATGACAAGGTGTTATGTAAACAGTCTGCAGGCTCTCTCACCAATGATTAAGATAACTGTAGGAATTTGCTTACTTCCTGATGGAAGAGTTTGGCAAACGTCAGAAGAGATGTCTATACAGTCCTCCCTCAGGCAACAGCTAGTAACATATTATAGCAGTGGTGGCCAATCTGCGGCTCGTGGGCTGCATTAGTCCCTTTGGGGTTCCACCTGCGGCCTGCGCACTCTCTCCCTGCCCCCTTGCCCCATGCCTCTTGCATACTGGAGCCCCGCACTTACCCACTCCTCCTTCTCCCTCCCAACACTGTCAGAGTGCCATGAATCTGCTGATTCTCAGCCCTTCAAGCTCTGGAAGGGAGGGGAGGAACAGGGATGGAGAGTAAATTGCTGATTTATAGTGCTCCGCAAGTGCTGGGAGAGAGGGGGAGTAGAATGTAAGTGCAGGACTGCAGTATCTCAGTGCACAAGAAGCATGAGGGAAGGGGACAGAAAGGAAATATGGGGGCTGAACCACAGATGGAACCCCAAGGGGCCGTATGGGGCCTGCAGACTGCCCACCACTGGATTTCAAACTTGCGGCCCACTGAGATGGAGGGTCAAGTATGCAGTCCACTCACTAGCCTTGGTTACTCATCACTGTACTGTACCATCACTAAAGTCTCCAGGCAGCTTCAGACATTTACGGGAAGAGGTTTGAAGAGACACTCATCTTAAGTCACACTTGGCATTTAGCCTATCTATCTACCTTGTAACAACTATGACACATGAAGAAAGCTAAGGGAAGAGATTTAATATGTTTTACTATTTTATTATGTTCTTTTGTGCATTTCACGGCACTTCATGTATCGTCAAGTTTGGCTGTTTCCTCTATTGGTCAATTTTGCTTGTGTGTGCAGATCTTCTATGCTGCAACAAGGTTGTAAAGTGTTTAAAATAGGAAGTCAACTTTCAAAACCCACAAAAATTGGTTGGAGGACACAGGGATAAATGAAATGGCAACATTTGGAAATGGTGTTTCTATAATTGTTCCGACAGGTCAGAACTCTATTTCACAGCTTACTAAATTAACATATTGTCAGTCACACAGAATGATTAACATTAGTCAAATTATGTGTGCTCTTCCAGAACACCTTTGTTAGGAAAAGGTCATGAGCAGGTTATTTCTGCAACTGTGAACCCTGTTACACAGTAATGAAGAAATATATACTTCCTCTTATTTACTGAGCAACCTAAGAATGGTGGGAATGAAGTTCAATACTGACTACTTCTAGAGTTTAAATATTAACATGAGGGGAAGTAATTGAACAGAGGGGTTTATCAGGACTTCCCAGGTTCAAACCAAAGGCTAGCAGATAGTGAGAGTTAATGAATAAATGGCATTTGTTCATGGAATGATATAAACACCATGGCTAAATGCAAGACTGGAATTTAGCCTAAAGACTTCCTTATCTCCATGTCTAGCCAAGATATATCTGCCATATACTTGTGAACAAAAAGACTATTTAATTGGCTAGCTCTCTACAGGCACCATTTAAATTCAGGTTAATTCTTAGAACTACCACACTTTTCCATAGTTGCTGGTTTAGACAGCAGGCCTTATACTATAAAGTGTTTGAGAAGATGCAAAATAGAGAGGTTAGATATCAGGTAATTAAATAGTCATAACAACATGAAATCATTGAGGTTACATGACTATTCAATAGACCCTAAGGCAGGCATGTCCAAAGTCCGGCCCGCGGGCCAATTGCGGCCCGTGTTCCGGTTTAATACGGCCCCACAGGTAATTTGGCAATATCTATCTTTTATGGCCCCCAACGAATCCATATGTATTGAGATAATACATTGTAAAATCTCAGTTAATGTCAGTTGGTCTAAATCAGTTATAAATATATTTGGACACAACATGTATACTTGGTGTTATGTTCCTGTTCATATTTTTTTAACTTAAAAGTTGACAGACAACCTTTATTACCAATAATATGTAATGTACTTTACAATGTTCCTGACATATTTCAGCTTCCTGGATTTTTTTTTCATCTGGCCTTCAGATATGAAAGGCAGAGTGATTTAACACCTGTTTAGATTTGTCATCCATGTGACGAAATGAAAAGTATGCCGTTTGCAATAAACTTTGCATAAAATAGTTAATTTTCATTTAATTTTAATGGTTCAAAGAATGTCAGGAAAAATGGTCGGCCCTCACGCATGTTCACTTCATCAAATCTGGCCCTCTTTGAAAAAAGTTTGGACACCCCTGCCCTAGGGGCAGGGCCAGCATCCAGTGCCCTCCTGGCCCCACTCCCAGGGAGCCCTCTGCCACCCTGCGCTGCTGCCTCTGATACAGACGCAGCAGTATGAGGTGGTAGGGGAAGCTAGTCTACAACAGGAACCAGTTTAAACACCAGCTCCCCTTGACGACAGGCTGTCTGTCACTCTGTGCTGCTGCCTCTGATGCAGAGCAGCCTCTGTCTGCGGGGAGCTTAGAACCTCTGCAGACAGGAACTGCTACTGCGAAGCAGCCTCTGCCTGTGCGGGGGAGGGGAGGGGGGGCAGGCTTGTTGCGGACAGAGGTTACTTAGGAGATGTGGAGCAGCTTCTGTCCGAGGTGACCCCCCCACCCTTCGGACAAAGGTTGCTCTGCATCTCCCAGAGCAGCTTCTGTCCACAGAGAGCCTGGGACCACCACAAACAGAGAATGCTTCACAGTAGCCTCTCCTCCCACTGCTGCCTCTGATACGAGGGGGTTGTATGAGTAGTCGACAAGATTAAACGATAAGTCTAGGCTTATCGGTTAATCGTCTAGTTGACTACTCGTTGACATCCCTAGTGCAAAATGAAATGATTTCTCATGCCTATGAAACCTGCACAGACCATTAAAAAAAGGAACTTATGCTACATCCTCTTGTTCATACTGAATGTTACTTTCCACATGGTAGAGAGCAAGGCCACAATGTCAAGAGCAAACAATAGCAAAACCAAGCCTGCACAGATACCAGAGATTTCATAATAGAGAAACATGTTCCTTTTTAGTCTGAGGGTTTGACTGCCCCCCAGGTAAGTTAAATGAGGAAAATAAGGCCTTAATCTGCTTTTCTCTGCAGCCGCTTCTCACTTTTGGTAACCTGGAAATCCTGCCCTGCAGCACCAAACATCTACATTTCTTTCCAATGGACCGCCAAATCTCCTTTACCTTGTCTTGACCTCAGTGTCTCTCTACTATCAATCTCCAACTACCTTAGAATTTGTCTTAGGGACAGTACAACCAAGAAAAGTGATCTCCCCATCTAGACTGACAAACTACATCATATCATGTGTATTCAGGACTTTCAAACAGACTTGATAAAAGAGGCTAATTTCATTTATTAGATCAGGTCTGGGGAAGCAGTGATGTTTAGCTCTTAAGCCTGGAGAAGTTTTGCACCCTCCCACCTTTTCAGTCACTGTATACTAAGGACTGAAAAGGTCCAAATAGACCTGTATCCTAATACAAAAACACACCCTACCTTCCTTCTAAGGGAGTTTTATTAATAGCCCTCCTTTAACCATCAGCAATGGAGATTGGGTAGGGAGAATTATTTGGAAAGCCCTCCTGCCAAAAGAACAGTAATGCACAGCAGATGTTCCATAAATGGAGATTTGCTATAACAAGGTTGGCCAGCAGAGGGAGTCACAAGCTCAACAAGCTGCTAGTTTTTGAACTGCAAGAAGCACTAAAGGAAAAACGTTCTCTCCCACCAAGACAAGTCAGAGTCCAATATCGTGCCAACAGGTCCTATCCTAGACTGCCAATCTACAGAGCTTCAGGGGATATTACTAAAACCAGCATACAGGGAACCATTATTCTGAGCAGGAATTTTGGCTACTAGTATGGAAATTTAACACACATTTTAATAGACAAAAAAAAAGGAAGGACTAGAGCCGGATATAGCACTTGCAAGACCTGTATACAGCCAGTTTCCACAGCTATGCTACTGCAGCCACAGTAGACTAAAAGCATTGATCTTCCAATCCATGTCTGAAATGTTGTGTGGGGTATCTCTCTAGCACACAAATTCTGATTAAGAAGCGGGTAAACATTCATAGGAGGCTCCACACTTTCTTAGGACTCAAGCCAGCTATGACCTGATGTCTCAGAGGTGACGTATTGGTCATTTGTTTAAACTGCTGTATTTCAACTTTGGAAAATATTTTAATACTTCCAAAAAGCTTCTGCAGCCAAAGGTTAGAAACAGAGGTTTAACCACATGTGCACTCTTCCCTAGACTTGGCTGAATATTGAGATGGCTATTCCTTAACCAAGACCTGCATTACTATGCATGCAGTCAGAGCATCTAAATGTGCTCTATAATGTTTAGAAATCTGTCATCAAATCTCTTAATCCAAAGTATTTAGGTTCCTTGGCCAGAATGAAGTTATCTTTGCTACGCTGATCCTTTAGTGCAGGGAACAGTCTCGCTCTCCAGTGGAGTGGCTCTGACTTTCAGAACTGACTCTTCCCCAATGCTCCCCCCCCCCAAATTATGAGACAAAACTGAATGAACTAGGAGTCACCAAATGAAATAGGTAGCAGATTTAAAACAAACAAAAGGAAGTATTTCTTCACACAACTCAGTCAACCCGTGGAACTCCTTGCCAGATGACAGTGTGAAGACCAGGATTTTAACAGGGCTCAAAAAAGAACTAGATAAATTCATGGAGGATCGGTCCATCAATGGCTATTAGCCAAGATGGGTAGGAATGGTATCTCTAGCCTCTGTTTGTCAGAGGCTGGGAACTGGTAACAGGGGAGGGTAACAGGGGACACCTGGCATTGGCCACTGTCAGAAGACAGGATATTGGGCAAGATGGACCTTTGGTCTGACTCAGTATGGCTGTTCTTATATTAATAGTCACAAAGATTCTATTCTAACCCATAACTTTGAGTTACTATGCACCATCACCTATTCTAAACTTGGACTGTAGTACATTACTATTAACACTAGGGGGAGCTCTTAATGCTTCCATTTGCAACAGTCTAAATCCCAGATTAAAGCCAGAAGGGAGCATTATGAATCCCAAGATACTTGCTGCTTTGTACTGGTCAGGCTAGTCAGAAATGTTCTTACTTGTGAACATGGAGTCTTCTCAACAAACAACCAAAAAGCCCAATCCATCTGGTCAGGGGGTCACAACAGGAGATACAGAGAAAGGGAGGTAAAGTCTCTTTACAGAAGGCAAAGGCAGCATTTATAAGGAGTTCAGAGTGTATCATCCTTAGAGGTCAGGGTGATACATGCTAGCAGTGCAGGAAGCAACTTGTGTCCCTGCTGCCAGCACTGTGCTTCCACAGGAACCTGAGAGACTTACCTTAATGCGCTGTACCCTTGGCAAACACTGACGCAGCATAGCACTCTCTCCTGGTTGGCCTGGGTCTCTCCCAAGTACTTGCACACAATGTTTCCACCCAGGCTAAAGCCCACCACAACTAGCTGGGTCTGAGGGTAGGTCTTCTTGATGTAGTTAACCATGGCTCCAAATTCCCAGGTGCAACCTGTGAGAAAGGCCAAGTTCAGAGTAATGTTAACAGAATTCTAGACCCCTATCCAGCTTTCTAACAGCTAAAGCAACTATACTAGAAGTCTCTGTGCCTTCCAGCATTGGCTTCAGAAGAACAGCTCTCCAGAGGGTAAAGGAACCCTAGTTACCTCAAGGTCAGTTATGCTGCTAGTCAGAGACTTCACTACTTCTAAAGAAGAAATGTGCATGTGTGTACCAGACAGCAGCTGGATATAGCATGCTTGCAATCCACATGCTGGGGAACAAAACACTTCAACATGTCAGGAACACTGCTGTGTGAGGATGCAAGTGTCCACCTCCTTCATGCACAAAATGCAGAGCACGGAGGCCAACATGTCACTGTAGGAGTTTTCCCACAGACGGAAACAGGCCTAGGCACCACCCATAATGCAGGGGAATCAACTAACCCCGCTAACAAACCTTGAAGCACAGAAGATCCCAAGGTCATTCTCAGCTAGTACTCTCTTTGGAGTAGGGCATCTTGCTAAACCCAGCATTTCAGAACTAGCAAGACTGAATTCATTTTGTATTTGTTGAGATCTGAATGAAGGCAAGAGAATAATAGGGTCAACTCCTTTCCTGCCATTGAAAATAGAGACATCACTTAGAAGATGGATGTGTCAAGCTGGGTCACATAACAAAAAGTCTTATGGGACTATGACCAACTATAGTTGTACTTTAGTGAGTAGATAGACTGACTTGCTTATTCAATTGCTTAATAAGGCGAGACACAGAAAATGGTGTTTTAGTAAGAGGTTTCCTGAATCTATCCCCCAACAAATATATTAGTTTTCCTAAACCTAAATATTCTCTACAGAGATTTTGTTCTCACCTGATGTCTGAACAGAAAGATAAATATATTTCCCGAGAAGATGGAAATCTCTTTTGACTCAAGCAGAACATACACATGAGAACTGGCTACAGAAAGTTCTTAGACTCATAGGCTTTAAGGTCAGAAGGGGCCATCATGCTTATCTATGCTGACCTCCTGTACATTGCAGGCCACAGAATCACACCCAGGCACTCCTGTAATTGCCCATAACATCTAGCTGAGTTACTGAAGTCTTCAAATCTTGATTTAGAGATTTAAGTTATAAAGATCCACCATTTATAGTAGAGCTTCAGAGTTACAAACATATGAACAATGGAGGTTGCATATAACTCTGAAATATTTGTAACTTGAACAAAACATTATGCTTGTTCTTTCAAAAATTTACAACTAAACATTGACTTAATATAGCTTTAAAACTTTATTATGCAGAAGAAAAATGCTGCTTTGCCCTAGTTAGTAGTTTAACATTTAACACAGTACTGTACTTTTATCCCCTTTACTGATTTGTGAAGAATGGATGCTTAAGCACTATATCATCAGTGCATGCATTCCCCTTTAGATTCAGAAAGGGGAGGGCATGCAGGCCTTGTCTACACCAGCAGTGCGCAACCTATGGGTTGCGACGTGGCTGTCTTCTGGGCGGGTCGCAGGGTCGGACTGGCCGCCATTTATTTCCCAGCACAGTGTACATGTGGTGGGGGCGGGGGGAGCAGAACAGCATTTAAAGGGGTCACGCCTTTTTTTTTGGCTCCACCAAAATTTTCCAAGCGGTTACGCTGGGAAAAAGGTTGCGCACCACTGGTCTACACTAACCCCTGGTGTCGATCTAATTTATGTGACTTCAGCTATGCAAATAGCATAGCTTAAGACAATGTATTCACCATGGTATCTGGTGTGCAGTAAGGTCATCGGGAGCCGCACACAAGTGAGAAGCAACAAACAAAAAAACAAAAAACCCCAACAAACAAAAAAACCAACAGTCCTCACTGACATGTCCCCAAGTGAGATGGAGAAAGACACTCCCCACATTCCCCCCACACACCAGAGCTTAGAGGGGCCCAGCTTAGTAGATTTTGTGTGCTCCAACCACACAGTGGGGCAGCAGGAGGGCTAGAGCACCAGGCACAGAGCCCACAATGCAGGGGGGCCTGAGCCTCGGGGGCCATATACAGACAACCTGGGGGCTGTATCTGGCCCCTGGGGCTGAGGTTCCCCACCACTGGCTTAGAGATCGATTTATCATGTCTAAGCAGACATGATAAATCAAGGCCAGCGGATTGATCGCGGCAGCATCAATCTCCAGCGTTGTGGAGACAAGCCCACAGAGAGTAAAATCCATGCTCAAGTTTGCATATGCTGTACTCCAAGAAGAATGACCTATTTGCTGAAATCTGGACTAACTGTGACATCATCCTCGGCAGCTGGAGGAATCTTCAGCACCAGATTAAAGAGTCTTTCTAATGCCACATTTTGATCACTAACCATCTGCCCTCCCTTTCCTCCCCATTCCCCAAGGTCATGCCCAAATTCAAACTTAATTTAATTATTTCCAGAAGGGGAGGGAGAGGCTGACTTCAACAAAGCTCAGACAACATGTTTTCTAGTCCTGTGTATATACTCTGCATCTGAGACACAGTCTAAAGGGAGAAGGCAAAGACTGATCTTGCAACAGGGCACAGGATTGAGAATAAGGAGACCTATGTTTTTATTCTGGGCTCTGCTACTCACCTACTCACCATTTGTCATCTCAAGTGTTGACCAATATTTGCTGGCTAATATATAAATGTATAAAAATATATAATAATGTGTTATCTGCACCATATATATTGGTATGCATTAAGTAATAACAATTATATAGCCTGAACTGCCCTATGCCTTGATTATAAAACTGTTCACATAACTTGCATTAGCCAAAGTAAGATTTTGCTTAAGTAGACAGGAAAGCTGTTAGGGTCAGAGCATAGTATTTTACCATAGTAACAGGTAGGGAGCTATTCTCACAGGCCAGTACTGGAATACCCCAAAGGAAGAAGACAGAATGGACATTATTTGTAACTCTGAACACAATCTTATGGCTGTTCTTTCAAAAGTTTACAACTGAACACTGACTATATAGTTTTCAAACTTTACTATGAAGAAGAAAAATGCTGCTTTATCCTTTTAAAGAAGTTTAGGTTTGAACACAGTATCCACTGTATCAGAGACAGCAACACTGAGCGGGGGAGAAAACTTGTGTAACTGTTGAAATTTTCAGCAGTTACACATTACCTAAATAAACATATTAGCCACTCTAGTTTTTGTCTATGATCCTGTCAGATTGCGTACTTCCAATCCCAAATGAGGCACGTGGTTCGTCAATTTTTAACTATGAGGCTATATTATGTATGATTGTTCCAGCCTAGTAAAAACCTAAAAGATCCCTTCAAAGACAAGCACCTGATATTCTAGTATCCAAAACAAAAATACAAAAAGGAATAAAAGAAGCTAAGGAACTCAGACAAAATGGGCTGAATTTTAGTGATTTTTAAGGAAATACATAACTTGTAAAATCATCCTATAAATGCTACGAGCTGATGCATAACTATGGGACCACCCCTTCTGCACGAGGTGAATACTGCATGAGACAGCTTCCTGTAAACCTTTTCCTGTACTATATTTTTATTATCCAATAACCTTGACTGACATTGGTTATTTAGTCTCTTGCCTCAACAAACCAAAGCATAGTCAAACAACTGACTATACTATTTATTAACATTAAACAAGTCACTTCATCTCTACCTCAGTTGCCCTATTTGTGAAATACAGCCTTTCCTTTCGCAAGCATTTTGAACGGTGTGGCTGAAGAGGCTAAGTATTATTATGGATGCTCTGTGTATGGGTGTTCTCGCAACAAGTACTTATGGCAGTGGTCACCAACTAATAGATCGGGATCTACTGGTAGATCTTGCAGCTTCTGAAAGGTGATCCTAACTGGTTTGGTCAAGGAGGTCCTACAAGGGTATTTGGGTTTGAGGTTGATCTTGGATTGCACTTAAATTCAAAAAGTGATCTTGTGCTTAAAAAAGTTGAAGACCACTGACTTACGGAATGCAGAATCTTTTACAGTAAGCTTGCCCGATGCAGTTACAATAGTCACTTTTGGGTACCCACAATGGTGTTATATTTGTACTAGTCCCAGGGTATGAAAGAGAAAAGACCAGTGGTCCCCAACGCGGTGCCAAGCATGTGTCAGGCATCCTGACCATGTGCCCAGATCATCATAGCTGCCTGTGGACGACTATTGCCTCGATGCTGCAGGAATCAGCTTCTGCAAGGACACTAATGTTGGTCAATCGGTCCTGCCATGTGATGCCCAATATTCTCCTGAGGTACCTTTGGTGGAATTTCTCCAGATCTTTAATATGTCATCTATAGGGAGTCCAAACTTAAGCTCCATATAACAACGCTGGGATGATTACGGCATTGTAGACATCAATCTTGGTCTGCATCTTGATGTCACAAGGCGCTCGGGCGGCCCCGGGGCACATGCTGGCGCCGGGTGCAAGGGCATCCCCACCCCTGGCGTGCCCCAGGACGTGCAGCCCCGCCCCTGGGCGCCCGGCGCATGTGTGGCCCCGCCCCCAGGCGCCCGGGAGCCCGTAAAGGTTGGGGACCACTGCATTAGACCAACTGCTGGTGGTGAAAGCTTACAATGCAGGTCTTCACATCATTTCTGGGTGCATTCAGTTAGGACTGATCTGGGATACATACAGTGTGTTGTGCTAACTCTGGCAGAGCAAACAGATGCTTAGATCTGTAGCTAGAGTGGGGGTGGATGAAGCCATCACTAAGGCACTTCCCTTTGAGATTGGAATTCTTAGAGACAACCAAGAATGCGATATTTTGATCAACTTGTGCTGCTCTATAGCAGGGATGGGGAACCTTTTTTGGGTTGGGGCCTGCTCATACACAGAAAAATCATTTGGGGACTGAACACAAGTGAGAAGCAAAAGAAAAAAAACCCAAACAAACCTTCACTGAATTGTTCCACCCTCACTGAATTGTTCCTCCCTCTCCCCCCCATCCCAAGAAGGAGAAAGACACTCCCCTTGCACACCAGAGGCTAGAGGGGCCTAGGTTAGTAGATTTTGTGCACTCCAGCC